ATATTATTTAGTTAAGATTTTATCTTCTAGATTTATTGTTAAATATATTAAGTAGGTTATGCACGAGATTTATTAGAAGCGTGACAAGTTTCTTGGTAAATAAACATAAAATTGGAAAAGATAAAAGATAGATTTTATAAAAAGATTTTATTTTAAAATTTGTTTCTTAAAATCGGTTTTAAAAAGATTTTATTCTTTTTAATATTTATCTTTTTATTTTATTTTTCCGGAAAGAATTTCTTCTAAAATTGATTTACCTAAACCGTGTTTTAAGATAAGGCAAGTTAACTTCTTTATCTTTTAGAAAACCTACTTGCTATACAAGTTGTGCTTGTATAAATAGTAGATATCGAATTGTTTTAGGTTTTTGTATGTTTATGCGTGGAGAAATCACAGAGCTTTAATTGAGTAAGTTTACCAAGCTTCTAACCTTGTCATTTTAGTTTCGGATTTCTTGCATTGCTTGCCTATCATATACTAGGTTTCATTACTTGTATTGGTTGGGTTATTTGGGTGTGTATGTGTGTTTAATATTTACATATAGTTTATGTAAGCTTCTAGTGTGAAGCTTAGAATTGATGTACTTTGGGAGTACGAGTGAATCTAAGTGTGGTGCTTAGATTGGGTAGGATAGGGTCCTACTGTGTAGCAAGTTCTTTATGGAACTTGTGAGTAAAGGTCTGATTATAGTAGGTTGTAACTTGGTGTTTGCCCTATTATAGTAAAGTGTTTTTGGTTGAAATCCCTAAGGTAGGGTCGAGGTTTTACTTCCAGTTGGGCCCTGGAAGGTTTCCTCGTAAAATCTGTGTGTCTTTGCAAGTTCCTATAAGCATTGTTTTATTATTCCGCAAAAAGTAGTCACTAGGAACTCACATACAATTCACCCCCCCCTCCCTTGTATTGTTCGTCTCAACTAACAACTCTCATGCACAAATCTCTCACACAAGTCAATTGATTCACGTTTTTCTTAAAAAAACATATTAGTATTGTGAACTCTCACAATAACTTTATTTGTATTGGACGCAAATAATGAAAAATGTGTGCAATTGATCACTCCTCTTACACGAATTCTAGTGTTTAAGATATTTTCTCCATTGATGAGAACGTCATTCTTTTCGAATCGGTCATATCTTTCTCCTCCTCTCACACAAACTCTCATGTCTTTCATCATCTCTACTCACACAATCTCTCGTGATTAAGGTGTTTTCATCCTCTTCTCACACGAATTCTCGTAATTATCCCAGGATCTCCCTAGGCTTCGATACCATGTTAAATATTGGGGAAAATAGTTCTCTGTGTTTTTCTATTGTATATTCCCATTCATAATTTAATATTCGGCCACATATTCAGAGGCGGATCCACGTTGATGCGGGGGGGGGGGGGGACAAAAAAAAGCAGTTTTTTTAGTTTATATAAAGAATATAATCCGCATAATGACTATTGTCTTCAACATTGCTTCAGTGGTAAGTGAGTTGTTAGGTGAATTGTGTTGGGATGAGAAGTCAAGGGTTCAAGACCCCTTAGTTTCTTTTTTTTTTTGCTTGAAACTAGACCTGGAAAATGGGTCATTCGGGTCGGGTATGGGTCGGGTCATTTCGGGTCGGGTCAAGTTCGGGTCAAAAGATTATCGGGTCAAATTCGAGTCGGACGGGTCGGGTCATTTCGGGTTTCGGGTTGATTTCGGGTCGACTGATAATCGGGTCGGGTCGGGTATCGGGTCAACAGTTCGGGTCGAGTTTGGGTCGGGTCAAGTTTGGGTCGGGTCAGTTCGTGTCAGGTCAATTTTCGGGTCCAATTTCCGGGTCAACTTTTAGTCGAGTCATATTCGGGTGATTCATTGGATTAAATTCAACTCTGTATATATATTTATTTATTTTTTGACGAAAAACTCACTATATTTATTAAGGCTATTTTTTCATGGATTATAGTAATTGTTTGACTTTTATTAACTTTTTTTTTTTTGTGTTTAGAACTTTAAGCTAAGAATTACTTTCAAGATCTCCTGAAACTAAGAAGAACTAATTGAGTTATACCTCACTCTCTTATTGATCTTAGTTTTAATACGTACTCTTATTATCATTGTCATTGTTGTAAGAATTTCTTTGAATTATTCTTGTACTCCCTTCGTCCCAAATTACTCTTAACGATTTGACATTTTGCACTATTCACACATCTCACTTTGACCATCTTTTTTAGCTATTATATGAAAGTCAATGTAGTCATGTAAGATGTTGTTGGGTCTATTTTAATGTATAATTTCCTAATATAAACTTTTTATACTACCTCCGTTAACTTTTATTTGTAACTTTGGGGTATTATTTGTGAGATATAAAATATTCCAAAATTGCAAATAAAAGTTAACGAAGGTAGTAACTTAAATAATTATTTACTAAAAGAAGTTAAAGGTCGGGTCATTTTCGGGTCGGGTCAACTTCGGGTCACGGGTCAACTTCGGGTCAGGTCGTTTCGGGTCTCAGGTCAACTTTGGGTCGGGCCATCTCGGGTCAGGTCGTTTTGGGTTTGGTCATTTCGGGTTTCGGGTCAAGGTCGGGTCAGTTCCACTTCGGATCGGGTATGAGTCGGGTCGGGTTAATTCGGCTTTTGGGTCAATTTCGGGTCACTGGTTTCGGGTCGATTTCGGGTCATGGGTCGGGTCATCAGGTCTGGGTCAGGATTGCCAGGTCTGCTTTAAACCCAAATGAATTTTCACTTTCCTTCACTTCATCAACACAAGGATAATCTATTAAATTACTACCTTTCCATAATAAATTTATTTTTTAGTTTTCACAATTTTTATAAACAATCCTTATTAATATAAAATACTCTATCCGTTATATACAATGACATTCTTCTCATTTTCATTACATAATATTTAATCCATATATTTGGCCATTATTATATCTTGTTTATATTAGTATGAAAATTTACACTAATTAAAATTAATATAAAAATATGATACTCCATCTGTGTTTAAGTAAATGAAACGTTTTGACTTTTTGCAAAATTTATCTAATTCTATTTGACTAATGTTTGGATTTATGCATAAGAATAAATTTAGTCATGTGGGTACTTGTTGAAATCGTCTCAAAGAAAAATTTATTAATATTCAATTGTTATAATTTTTACTGTTAAAGTTATTTTGAGTCAAAGTTTTCATTAGTATATGTGCACAAGAAAAATTTTGCACTAAATTAAGGGTTTGTTTAACACCAGTTTTCTGTTTTTTTAAAACCAAAAACAGGAAACAAGAAAAAGGTGTTTTCACTCTTCTGTTGTCAATTTTCAAAATTTTCAAAATTATCATAATTTTAATAAGTTTATATAATTTTTGATTCATTATGGGACACATATTATATACTTTTAGAAAACAAAAAACAGAAAACTACAGTAATGCCAAACAAACCCTAAGTTTTCTGTATAAATTCATATGAAACTTAAATTTGACGTTCAAAATTATAAATAAATAGGTCGAACCGTGGAAAGTTTATATAGTATAATTGATATCCAGAACATAAATTATTTGTAAAAAATAACCTTGTCTGATTATATTATGTTACGTTCCAACAACGTTATATTGTTTTTTTAATTGTCCAGTGCTACCCCTGGTTAGAATTCTTGGATCCGCCACTCTATAAGACAATATGAATATCTAACCCTAATATTCCTTATTATCTTAACTTCCTATAATATATCTTATATATCTTTTCACAATAATATCATACATTACTATCTCAATACGACCCACCAAAACTCACTACCTGCATAAATCATGGAAACATCCTTAACGAGTTAACCTACTCTGACCTAGCTTAGGACCCGACCCACCCTAACACCGTGCTAGTCCTATGTCACCTCGATCCATCCCACAACCCACCTTACCTGACCCTATATATACCACCCAACGCGCATAGTTGGCCACCTCTAGCCTAAGGCGGAGAATGTTAAGTGTGGCCCAAATTTTCCTACCTAATGTATTGGGGTAGTGTATATATTCTAGAAGCTTTCTCATAAGTCAAGCAAGATTAATTAGGGCACTTGATTTCTTTTGGTTTGATTTCTTTTGGTTTATCTATGATCTTGTACAATGCAAGTTCCTTGGACAGTACATTTTAGTGACGAATTGATATTAATTAATATTGGAGAATAAAGAATTACATTGAGTGTATATATCACACATTCTTATATGTGTTTGACCACACAGAGTTACTTCGCTAGTGTTATAGGGGGTTACTCAGTCTGTTCTATAGGGGTTACTTTGTTAGTATAATAGGGGTTACTCGATCAGTTTATAAGGGTTACTTGTCATTATTCCAAGGGTTACTCTGCCAGTATTAAAGAAGTTACTTTGGTCTTTTACAAGCGGCTACATGGTGTAACCAGCCCCATAGAATATGCACTGTTGCATCTATAGCTCATGGCAGTTTTAGAACATTTTTATGTGCAAACTAGGAGCATTCTACACAATTATGTCTCACCTGTATACAATTCCACACATGCCAACAGATAACCATACACACAACTACACAAGCCTTCATAGAATTCATACATACCCTCCTTGTGTATTATCAACCTATGCTGATAATAAATCACTATTCCTCTTTGTACATAGTGCTACTCCTTTGTCATCTAATTTTCTAGAAAATGAGAAATGTATATTCATTACTCACCCTTAATAACTTTAGCTAATGTCATTCATATATCAAATTTTCCCATGCTCAATCGTCCCCTAACACCGACCTTATAAAAATTGGGTTTTCATCTTAATAACAGCAAGTAAATTAATTTCTATATGTATTTGTTCATTAGTCCATTTTTCTCATTTGTAGGCCTTGAAATGATCAATGCATCTAATAATGAACAAACATTATAGAATAAACCTAATCTAACTCTTTTAAAATATACTAAGCTCAATCTCTTCCAAAAGAAAACTTTGATCTTAATATTTACATTAAAATTTTAAGCCAAAACAAAGCTCAAGCATCAAAAGTCATCTACATTTATTTGAAGTAATAACAGCGGAGAGATCTCGATTGCATTATGGAAAACATAATCATATTGTGAAGTACAAAACATGACTTGAATGCATGAGTTCATCAAACAACCACATCCAAATTTCTTTCATTCAAACATCCTTCTTGAGACGATTTATTAAAGAACTCAATGCAATCCGCAATAGCCTCTGAATAATGAGAGTTGGGAGAATAATATGATGAGCTACATGAAGTCTTTGGAGGTTCAGGGCGATCACAAGATTGCCTTCGAGACACAAACCCCTCGGATGAACCCCGAGCAACGCCAGTTTTTGAAGGAAAAGAGAACATCAACCTCATAAACACCTTTCGAAAACGGTTGAACATCTTCATAGCCGAGAAATTGTTATTATTGTTAAGTTGGGAAGATTTAGATTTTTGCTTGTGATGCCTATACATTAGAACTCTATAAATGTCTCTCTAATAATTATTTCAAAAAACCATCTTTTTTTTTCAATCTCTTGTAATAAGGCTTGGGAAGTGTAGTGTTATAATGAATGTCCTAAGAATATGTGAATGTTTGTATTTATAAATAAAAATGCTACGTAAAAAGGCATGAGTCTAATTTTGTTTAGACTTGATGAAGATGATTGAAAAGGAAAAGAAAAGCATGGTTTGCCCGCCTAACTATGTTACATGCATGTGACTATAATCATTTTTGGGTTTCTCTTGTCTATCTTAACTAATTAAGCATATTTTATATGGATTTTGGTCATTTAATCATCTTTAAGTTTAAGCAATGTTTACTAAGAAATGTACATTATCCATCATTTGTGACGGACCTTGGTGTAGAAGTGACCTTCCACATTTTTTTAGGGTAGATGTTAGTAGTGACTTAATGATAGTTTGTCCTTGAGTTTCATTGCCGCAAATTAACATATGGTTTATTATATGCTATCAGTCCCTAATAACTTTTATCACTCTTTACAAATAAACAGTCTTGACTTTAATTTCAATTAGCTTAATTAAAAATAATTGTCTTTAAGAGGTTTTTTCAAAATAGTCCCCAAACTAATATAAGGTAGCTTTTAAAAAACTATGCCATATGGAACATTTTTTAGCCTTTAATTTTATTTTCATTAATATGTGACTCAATCTATTGATTTAGTAGGTTACCTTAAGTTTTAGATAACTGTGTTTCGGAAGACATCCCTTAGAAATGGAGACTATAAATAATTGGACCTTTTTCAAAAACACCAAACATGATTAAGGATTCAAAAAAAAATTCCCCTATTACATAATCATAACTTTATTAATAAAAAAAATTAAAAACGGGTAGAGTAAAGAAAATCATAGAGGAAATACAATTGGTAATAATAATCTTTTTTTTTTTTTTTTTTTTTTTTTTTTGGTGAAAGAATTTGGTAATAATAATCTTGAAACATTTTATAAAGAAAAATTGTACTTCGTTTACACTAATTATTATTATTTTTTTCTAATTCTCCAAATTATTCTATTTCATTAGGAATACAAGAAGAATAAAAGAAAAAAGGGGAAATAAAATTTAAAGATAAAAAGTACAATGGGCTATAGGTATAGATTTTTAGCAACTAAAAATATGCTTAAACAATTATGAATGTTTCTTTTGTAGTCATGTACTCATATACGTATTGACATTCGAAAATAAGTATATAAGCATTGATGACATTCTAATGATTCTATATTGCTAGCTTAGCTTATTAGGTTATTGAAAGCTCAAGCGGATGATTTTGACCAAAAAAGGACCACTAACACAAAAAATCCACATAATACTACGTAGCTAGGAAACATAGATTATGATTTTGCTGGAAGTAGGTAGTTCTTTTAGCAAACATAGTTTAATTTTTAGGATGAAAATTCAATTATAAGCTTTACATAGTTCAACAAATAAAAGGATAGGTATATGCTCCAAGGTGTAAAGCAATATTATTAGAAAAAAGATCATTCTAAAATTGGAAATTAATACCTAGAACAAGTCTATTTATAGATTGACAAAGAAAATCATAGGTTACGATTTTAGCCAACAGAATTAGTATGATAAGGAAACATTACAAGTGTAGGTGAACGGAAAGTAAGTGATTGCGTTGCTAAGTCTCAAAGTAATAGCCCTTGTACCCTGAATTGAGGCCAACTGAATGCAAATGGGACAATGGACTAATCAATATCACTCATCTTTTTCTCTAATTTTCTTAGAAAAACATCGTACTAAACAAATTAAATTAGATAATAAATCATTTATTTATGTTGTACAGAGAGTCAGAGATTTAGTGTGCGGCTAGCTAAATGGTGTGGTCGCTTGTAAAAAACCAAAGTAATCCCTATATATAATACTGACAAAGTAATTCCTGTAATACCGACCGAATAACCTTTATACACTTGCCTAGTAACCCATATAACACAAACGAAGTACCCTTGTAATACTGACCGGGTAACCCCTATATACTACTCCCTCCGTTTTTTAATACTTGCTTCATTTTTTCATTCGCGGAGTTTTAGAAGAAATTGGATAAAGTAATAAAATATGGAGGTAGTGGGGTAGGTAGAAGAATAAAAAATTATAAAAAGCTAAAGTAGTGGAGAGAATTGGAGGAGAGAGAGTATAAAATTAATAAAATATGATTTATGTTAGGTCCACTGGGTGAGAGAAATGAATTAAATATTATAAAAACTTTTCAAATAAGGAAATGAAGCAAATATTTAAAAACAGTCGAAAAAAAAAAAGTGGAACAATATTTAAAAACAGAGGGAGTAATCCCATGATAATTGCTACAAGATGTGGTCAGCCAAATATGAAAGTTTGTGCATAAACAACTAAACTAGTAGATCAAAATATAGCTCTATATGTAGAGTTGGCTAATCTATCAATATCAAATAAAACATTTTTAGCTATATCCATGCACACACTAAGCTTTATAATGGTGCATTTGTTTCTCTATCTTTGTTCCATTTAGAAATCTATTAACTATTATTAAAATAAAATATTACTAACATCATCAATCCTGAAACCATCCTACATATAATTCTCATACTATTAAAATTTTTCCCTCCAATTGTAGGTGTGATGTCATCAATTATTAACGATTTTTTTTTATTTATTTTTAATTTTTAATCTACACTTTTGACTTCAATGCATAAGTGTCTATATATAAAATTCAATTAACTAAGTTTCTCTCCTAAGGTATAGTTTTTCACATACTTAATATAAATGTGATGGTGTTTGATTGTGACTTTGTTTTTTAATTTTCACTTTCCTTGAATGTAATTTATTTTTATATTTAATTCTAATTAATCTTCATATACAATGTAATGCAACTAAATAGTAACTGTTATAAGAAATATTTATTCTAACTGATCGCACGAGGATAACCTAATTTCAATTCTAAATAGATGAAGTTTGACCATGATTATTATCGTCGGATGATATTGATTTCCCTTTATTATCCTTCTATATTTTTTTTTAATTTTTATGCAGTAAAATATCATTTTCCAAAGGGTGGCACTAAAACTTATGGGAAAATTTGTATGAAATAAAAATTAACTAAGAAACGGAAATAGAATATACAAAAAATCACAATAATTTCTATTTCTTTTTAAAAGTTAACAAAAAAAAACTTTTTTTCATACTCTTGTCTCACGCTGCTAAATTTCTTAATGTGTATGTCTAATCCTAACGCGTAGATTTTTCAAGGACGAGGGTAACATTAGACAATTGCTAAAACTATTAGTATTTAGGAATATTGTAATATTGTTTGTTAATCATATTAAAACGAATTAAATTTTTTTTTTATAAAACTCACATGTTCCTAGAATGCATTCAACTATACTTAACATAACATATAAAATTCGATACTAACCTTTATATATGTTTCAATTAAGTCCACCTTTTTATAGTTTCATTAAGGCGAATTCAAGTACTGTGTAAGTATTTTAGATTGTTATTCTTATACCCTTCACTTGATTCTTACTTAGCTCCATCGAAATCTTAGTCATTGTACCCTACATAATCGTTGGCAATAGATGACATTTTATGGTAGTTAGAGAGGGGGGATGTTCTTGAATGATTAATTGAACTATCTGTCTCGTTAAAAGCTCTTCATAAGTAAGAGAAGTCTATGTGACATAACTGAAAATCAAACTTTTGCGCTGGTTGTGATTTCTTATGTTGTGTTGTGAGCTAAAAACCATAATGATACAACATAGAATATGTATTTGTGTTCTATATTGCATCGAAGGCCGAGCTACCGAATAAAAGATGTAACAAATCCATGTATCTTGTCGTTTTCGTAATATTTTTCAACCGACTTTTTATGCTATATCGAGCGCAGACATAATTATTTCCCATTGAAAGCACAAAACAATCACACAATGTTTCATATGATCATATTGGTTATTAAGTTATATATATACTTCCCCTCTCTAATACTTTGATCAAACCTTTTTATTCAACCTATTTAAAATCTTTTGAAGATAGACAAAAAAAAATTTGTGAGAAGAACAAAAATGGAATTTTGACTTTTACCACACAAAAAATCAAAAAATTATTTTTTACCACTAAAACTTCTAAAACTTTTATTTTACCACTTAAAAATATTCTAAAGATTGTTTTTTAACACCTAACGTCAAGAGAACCGTTAAATCTAACAGTTTAAAAAAACTCTTTGAATTTCGTGCCCAAAACATGTTCTTCATAGGTTTAGGGGGTATTTCGGCCCAATGGATCCAATTTGAGGTCAAAATTGACAAAAAAAAATGACCGAAAATGACTCCTTTTGAGTGTTTCACATAAATTGAGGTATTTTTAAATACACAAAATGAGGCATTTTCGATTATTTTTTGTCAATTTTGACCTCAAGTTGGAATCAAAGGACCAAAATGCCCCCCAAAACCCCTAAAGACCTTGTGTTTGACATGAAAATCGAAAAAAATTTAAAATTTTTTTTTAGGATTTTTTACGGTAGATGGTAAAAAATAATTTTTAATTTTTTTATTTGGTGATAAAATAAAAGTTTAGTGGTAAAAAATAAAATTTTTTTTTTTTATTTTTTTGTGGTAAAACTCAAAAAATGTGAATAAAAATGATAAAAGGGAATCGTGTCTACATTTTAAAATCCTTGAAATAGTTTGACCATTATAAATCTCAAAACAAAATTTGGAATATAGGTGTATTAGTGTATGCAATTACCCGGCCTCTCATCTATTTGTTCAGATTATTCTCTATACTTTGAATTTCATGGTATTTAGTGTATATCTTTAACCACGTATATAATCTATATGATATAAGTGAATAAGAATTCTAATTTTTTTTGATATTTTAGAAATACACTACTTATTGGCTCAGGCAATATCCCGGTATAAAATAAATTTATGTGCTTTAACAAATTAATAAAAAGGGTTAATGTTGAATAATTATTATCGAGTAAGTGCAAAATATAGTAATCTATACATAAAATATGTTAAATTTATATATGAAAGTTATACATATGAATAGTTTTTGAAGTAGATTAAACATTAGGAAAATTGAAGAAAATAATCCCAACTTTAGTTCGTTCGCTCAAAATAATCCCAACTTTGGATTATTTTTAAATAATTCGAAATTTAATGGT